ACTTTCCCCTTTGGTCTCTCTTTGAACCAAACAGAAAAGACAAACCCCAACACACACAACCATCCATGACACACACACACACGCACACCTCAAGGAACACTCCCACAATAAGTGATTTCGCGGTGGTTTCCCCCAAGAAGGCTACCCCAAACAAAAAACAAACCCACGCATGCGCAGTCGTCAGGTTTGTTTCATCGGCCGAACACGTCCACAGGTCCAGTGGTCCGGGGGTCCGGGCGTGTCGGCCGCCTTGTTGAGGCAGCCGCTGCCAGGTCCACGTGTACAAATGTCTTTCGCACAGACACCTCAACGACGTCCTCCGGCATGTCCTGAGGGCTAAATGTCAGAAGTGTGTCTTTCTTTTCCGTGAGTATATTTCCCATCCCCTTGGCTTCTTTGGGAGAATTAAACAACTTATGCTAGTTTGAAGGGAACCCAACCAGACAAAAAGACAACTCTCATTTTGGGAGTCCCGCTATACAATTTTGACCCGGAACCGGATCCTGCCCCGCCCTAAAGGGGCGGGATCCGTTTGGGGGTGTCTCAAAATATAGGGACCCGAAATATGCCGGTTTCCCCGAGTGCACAATGCGGGCACCCTCCAAGAAAGAAGGACCCACCCATGTGAGTGGTTTTCCTCAAAATGGTGGACCCCCTTTTGGTTGGTATTTAAAGGGAAACCGACAGGAAGCCGGCCATTTTTGGGGACCCCTGTTTTGGGAAACCTCCAATATGGAGGTTCTGGTTCGGCCAAAAAAGCAATGTTCAAGCACGCAACGGCTTGCCGCGGATGCCGGCTCTGGTTGAGGCTAGCCCTAAAAGTGTCGAAATGAACATCAATAGGTGAGTCGGATTACTTTTTAGGAAGCGTCAACATTTCCGGGCTAAGCATGGGCATACCTCCGAGAGGAATCAACTACCACGTTTCTGTAGGGCTGAACACTATTCGCCTTTCTAATGGCGAGCTCCACCATGAGGTTTTTCTGCTTGGGTGTGAATTTCTGATTCCAGGATTTGGAATTATTGTACAATGACGCACAGCGACCTTAGGTTGATAGAGGTTGGGGATGAGATGGTGGGTGTGGGGTGTGTGGGGTGTGTGGGGTGTGTGGGGTGTGTGGGGGGTGTGGGGTGTGTGGGGTGTGTGGGGTGTGTGGGGTGTGTGGGGGGTGTGGGGGGTGTGGGGGGGGGGGGAGGGTGTGGAGTAATATTTGGAGTAATATTTGCAGAGCGTTTTTTTGCAGAGCGTTTTTGCACGTCAAGCCGAGGCGCCCGAAATGGACCCACACGACATAGGACGGTGCCTTCCGGATGACCTCGCCAAGGGTCGGTCAGTTCTAAAGCGATGTTTGTGATTCTTGCTTAGTCCAACCCAAGGGTTGCCCTCACAAAACCTGGCTGTTCCCAGATCTCCTGCTAAAAGTATAACTTTTAGAGGTTTAATTGAAACTACCACTAAACCCTGAAAAGCTAAAGACCTAACCCTTGATTGATTGACTGATTGACTGATTGATTGATTGATAATTGTTTTATTGATTGATTGATTCATTGATTGATTGATTGATTGATTGATTGATTGATTGATTGATTGATTGATTGATTGATTGATTGATTGATTGATTGGGCAAGCGGCTAAGCAGGATGAGCGCTGAGCCGGATTCAGGATTTGAACCCTAGGCCTCCCTAGGGCTCCCTAGTCCACGCCCATGTACTCTAATTTACCCCCCCCCCCCCCTACGCCCCCCGCCCCCAAAGAACCCCATAACAAGGCGATGGCTGGGAACCATCAAGAAACGACACACCCTTGGCGAATCACCATGTCTGTGAATCGGGGTTGTCATCGGACAAAGTCTGGCTGATTTACCTCAGTGGATTCTTGCTCGCGAACTTGAACAAGCAAGAAACCTTCGGTTGTGCACTTCTTTCTGATGCTGCTACCGCCTGACTAATCATTTTGGCGTACGGGCGATCCAAAACCAAAGGCAGTGCCGCACCCTCCAAATGGATGGACATTTAGATAACTTGGGACACTATGCATGATCTGAACTGTTCTGATCCCTGATCTTAGCTTGATATTGACCCGAACCAAGCTTTCAAGCTTTGGGAAAACATGGCGCTTCCCCACTTGCCAGCCAACAGTGGACAACTGTTTGCCAAGAAGGTTGGCCACCCCGATGTACAGGCAGTTGGACAACCATTTTGGTGAACAGTTCACACAGGTCCTTATCCACAACCAGGCCCCAAAAGGCCGCACCTCGGCTAGCGCCAGAATTTGCCATCGGAATTCGGAAAATCGCCAACGCTGAGCCGAAAGCGGTTGATGCAACGACGATCTCTTTGTGGACTTGAAGGGGAACCCCGCTCCCAAGCGCGAAAAAAAGGATCAACCCTATCTGCGCCAGTTATAAACAGGGTTTCCCACAAAATGAGCAGATTAACCGTAGCTTTCCTAGAAGGGATGGTGCCATGGAATCTAACTTGCGGATCCTGGAAAACCATTTTCCTCTAGGGACTCGTTGGTTTCATGTTCTTCAGACCCAAGCGCTCCTTGAACAAAGTGTCCTTGATGCTCGTCATGTTCCGTTTGAACAAGGAACTTGGTGTTGGCTTTCTGCTTGGATGTTCAAGGCTCTTAACATGTCTTGACCATGTTGGGGTGACTAGGGTTCGCCCCCACGTAACACACATTAGCCCACGTGGCAACATGCGGCAACAAGAGGCCAGAGTCTGAACCTGTGAGAAAAAGACAGCAGGCTTCGAAAGGGAGCGGAGGCAAGCACTGCTTGACACATGTTCTGCAAGGAGCAATGCATGACATCCGCATATTCCAAGATCATCCCCCCAAAAGGAAGCTCGCTTCAAGCTGGCCTCAAAGGCGATGCTTGACACCAAAAGGCCCGGTCTGGTATCTGAATCGGATCCCTTTGGGAACGAGTTTTGGTGGGTCCCGAACCTTATCAAAGGGAATCACCGGCGCCCAGAGCCCGTAGCTTACCGTGCGCATACTTGTGGTGCCTACAAGCTGAGTTGAACCGCATGGCAGAGGGCAAACCCAGAGGCACCTATTGGATTGCTGGAAAGGTAAAACAAAGTACTCATACGGTTTCATGCATCTGCGAAGTAGAATTTGGCTTCGCACAATATCTCTTTGGCAATTTGCTGATGTATGGTTTGCCCAAAAACAATCCCTTGGGGTCTACAATATAGTGGAACCCGTTTATAAACCCCTGGTTGATGAATGGGTGTGTGTGCCCTTCTATTGTGGATCATCACTTTTGGGGGGAAGCCTCTCCACCCCCCACTTGTAATAGGAATCCGGGGTCGACATTACAAGCTCTGAAACGGCTTTGCCCTCCCGATCCCGGATCCACTTTCTGCATTGGCACAGCGTTGGCACGGGAACTCGGATGTCGACAGCTCTCGACCGCCTGCTCCCTTCCCAAGCCACGTCTTGTGGCGGGCGATTTGCAACATCCGGGCTTACCTCTTGACTCCCGTTGGATGTGTTTTGAAATAGGGGACACAAACAAACTGTGTGTTTCAGCTCCAAACACAACAGTGCCATATTCAACAGCTTGATCCCGTCAGTTCAGGTTTCAGCAACTTTCTTGGACTTCCTGAAAAGAAGGATCCCAGGGGATAAAATGGGGGAAGCACAACTAGATATGGGTGTGTGTGTGTGCTTTTACCACCCACTTCGCTTCGGAATGCTCTTTGTGCATCTGACCTGCCGGTGCACTGGATTTAAGATGCTCACACTTTTGGGCTTTGATGGACATTATGAAGAGACTTGCCAACTGAAGGCTTAAGGGTTGCCAACTTCTACGGACTCTACCATTCCCAAACGGTCTAAAAGTAACATGTAACATGTTGGCCCATAAAGCTGAACAAACCATGACTCGTCTCCATTCAACGAAGGTCGCCACATAGCTTAGACATCTGCATGGTAGGCTTCATATTCTCTAACGGTGAACAAATTCGTAAGGTCGCCTTGGAACCTACAAGTCTATGGGCACAACCTCTTCAAGAGTTGTGTGCAATCGGACTTGTCCGGGGGACAGCTCTTGTGAATAAATTTGGCCGCGGCAAACATTTGTTCAGATCTCATCCAACCATGGCATATGCAGTATGCTGATACGAATAAATATGGTGGAGTGAAACACATCCATGCGCAAAAACACTCATGTCTAACTCTGTACCTGCAAACAGGTAAGCTCTCTCTGACATAAACCTGGCAGAAAGCAAACACATATGTGAGCCCCTGATTAAATTACTTGTTTCTGCACAAAGGACTAGTTCTAAATCGTGGTTGTCTCCCCAGGCTGCCCTTAAATTTGTCAGATACTCTTGTGGGAACGTATCAGAGCAGGGAATCCCAAACAAAGTGTTGTTCTTTTGGCATCCGTTAAACCCAACCCACCCTCCAAAGACTCACACCCAATATCTAACAACGTATGATATGACATATATATATATATGTATGTATGTATGTAGGTATATGTATGTATATGTATGTATGTATGTATGTATGTATGTATGTACACAGCTCGGCTGCTCGTGGCCTTTTGGCCGACCCGTCTACCCTTCAGAACGAGGCCTGCCCCAAAATGAAAAGGACCAAAGGTCACCGGTGAAAGTACATCAGCTTCCAAAGCTCAAGGTGGGATCCCAAAACCCAAAGAGACCCTGGGAGAAGGCGCATTATGTTTTCTCTTCAGTTGCCACAATTCCAACGCCTGACATATGAACTGGATTGCCATGTGAAGGACCTGAATAAATCGGGTGTTCGCTCGTTTTACTTTTCAGCTTTTGGGTGGAATCGCCATGACACAGGCAGATACTTTCCCGAAAACCAAGGTAAAGTGATTGGACCCTGCAAAAACAGCGTCCCGGAAGGATGCTTCTTTCGCAAGGGATCCTTGCAAGCAGCTGGTAAATTGGCGACTTTTCGACTGACCCAAAGCCATCCTGTGTTGACGGGTGAGCCCTGGCTTCCGCTCTCAGTGGCGAATTTGCCGCAGCCACTGCGGCAGTTGCATAGAGTCCTGAAATTTTCGGCCGGAATCCACGGCAACAAACGGATACGTCTTGGAATGGGTGCACCTTTTTTGCTCTGTGCCTCAAAGGATGGAACCAAACAATACAAACGCTTTTTTGCACGGAACCTATACTTGTTCCAGGCCATCTACATACACGGGTCGGAAGAGCCTTCTGGTTCTTGTGGACATTTTGAGAGTCCTCATGTCCCCAAATGGACAGCCAAACGGAAAACCAGAACCACACACAAACACATTTGTGCCATGGTCACACCTTGCTGATCAAGTGTGGACCTGGTGGTGCAACTCCCGGAAAATGGGCCCCAATCAATATCCACCAATGAAGATTCACTGGGTTTAATTGGTGATTCACTGGATTCAAGTCAAAACGGTGTTAATCAACTGGGTTTCCATGGGTCAACGTCAAGGTGGCGCTCCAATCTTCCCGCCGTGACCATCCCTAGGCCCCACATGTCCATGGACGACACCAACACATTTGGCGCTATTTGGCATCTTCTTAGTCCCAACGGCATAAAACACAGGGACGCCTCAACAAAAAAAACACATTAGGGACCCCCATTCAATCCCGGTATTCATGTCGAAATCGGGACTTGGACCCCCAATATATATATATATATATGTATAACTATAATATATAAATATATATATATACACACATGTGATGTTCCCTTGACCCCCCTCCCCCCGCCCCCCTGCCAAAAAAAGAGAGAGTGGTCTTCCCTTTGGTTTCCCTTAAGCGAACGTGGCTTGGGAGTAGCTGAAAAAGCGCACCAAGGGCCTCGATGGAGGCCATGGTCTTGGAAAGGGCCTCGATGGGCCTCGAGTCGCAGAAAAAAAATCAGGCTGGCTCAAAAGGGACACCGACAGGAACCCTTTGCCGCTTGCTTGTTGTTTCCTCCGTGTTTTTTTTTTTGGGGGGGGGTTGACCCACCCCCAAATCCGGGATTTCCCGACCATTCTTTGATTGAGGACCCAAGAGGCTGCCCAATACCCCATTTCCCCCAGTGCAAGAATTGGACGCCCGGGTTGATCCACATTTCTTGGGCCCAAACAGAAAGGTCTTCGCAGATCTCTGGATTTACAGGCTCTACTTGGCTAGAGGCGACCAAGGCCCGGTGGCCCGAAGTCAAGGGAACATCTGCTTGCTAGCAAAAGTGGAACTTCAGGATGGAACCAGGTCCCAGATCCTGGTGTGTTTCTGGCTTTATTCATGCAATGTCAACCTAAGTTTCATAAATGGGCGCATACCAATAACATTCTCGGCCACCGGACCCGCTTTTTCACCCAGTACTAAATTAAGAAGGGGCTAATTGAAAAGTTAATTGAAAACATACAACACCGCCCCCCCAAGTCGACCCTCCAAAGCACAACATTAATAAACCACCCAAAAACTCACATTAATGAAATTCCCCAAGCTTTTTGTATCGGGGAGCAAACCAGTCCAAAATGATTCAAAAGTAAGCAGGTAGCGTGTAGAAGTTGATGGCACAGAGACACCTGCAACAAGTGTGCAGCGCACCAGGCAAGGTAATTGTATAACTGGAACCTTCAAAGGCTCCCCAGCAGACCTCAGATCTCCAAAAGACATACATGCCCGGAAAGTGCGGCTTTGAAATGAAGTCTCTTCACAAAAGTGATGTCCCTGGACTCCAACATGAGGTACCCCACACAAGCTCCCCAAACCCGCATTACTAAAAGGGTTCACATTAATAAACTCCCCAAAGCGACCCCTAGGAAGAACTAGGTATTGGTTGAGAGGGGGGACTACTACAAGTACTACTACAAGTACTACAGCCGCTACTTCAAGTAGTACAAGTACTAGAAGCAGTACTACTACAGCCACTACTACAAGTACTCCCAGTACCAGAAGCAGTACTAAAAGGACTACTACAAGTACTACAGCTACTACAAGTACTACAAGTACTAGAAGCAATACTACAAGCACAATTGCTTTTTATTAGGACAAAGTACGAAAAATAACATAAAAAACAGTTGAAGGGGGGGGACCCCGCTTACTAATATGAAGTCGACAGTAGCATTCTATCCAGTACCTTGAACCTTCGTGGGAAGTACAGGGCACCTTCTTTTCGTATGGGGAATCTTCTTGGGAAGTAATTCCATTGCGCCCTTGCTGGATATTCTTGGATGTCTTTTTCCGAGGGTACCCTTTTTTTGGTGGTTTTACATGGAAACCAAAAATAAAACCACAATCCGTTTTTTTGTTTTGTGGGAATCTGTGCCATGGGCACTTGGAGTATATGTTGCAGCCAAGAACCCTACAAAGCCAACACCCCACATGAAGGTTGCGTAGCGAACCATCCCCTTGGCGTCCGCGCCCGGCGCTGGCGCTGGCCTGGCGCCTCAAGCTCAGGCTGGGAGTGGGAGTTCGGGCGGCAGAGTTCCGAAACCCGAATTTCTTTCCCACGCCAGGAAGGGGCGTCGTTTTGAGGCTACCCCTCTTTTGCTTGGGCTTTTAAAGGGAGATCAAAAGGAACACCCGTGCGCCATGTTGGGGGGTCTCAGAAAACCCCCCCAAAAAAAAGGACATCCACCAGAAACCTGAGTTGACATCCGCCAAAAGCAAGGCAGCCGAACCGGAGGAGTTTGGAGCTTGGAATCGGACCCCAATTTGCGAAAGGTTTCCAAAATGGCCCCCGTGGCAACGGTTTCAACTCTTTGGCCTGAACCCACAAGGGCGCCAAAAAAGACATCGAGTCGACTCATTTGGGCTCCATTTGGGTTTGCCGGGGAATTTCCCGGGAGCCAAACTCTTACAGCTGCGCCTCAACTAGTGGCAGAAAAGAATCGGGAGCGTTTGGGTTGGTTGAGAGCATTGTTGAAGGGGAACCTGCCAAAAGGGATAGGCGGCGAAAACACCAATAGTAACTCAGGCCTGGCCAAATCGGAGTGTTTCAGAGTTTTGCCCTTTGAGCTGAACAGTCAGCGTGTTGAAGGCTTTCTAGCAAACCGGGGCTGAGCCGATCCTTTGTTGAACATGCTCACACTCCTAGTGCTTAAACAGTCCCGCCTGTGGCCTCCTTTTGGGGCCCTGGCTGTTCAAGCACATTTCGCCCAGCCCTCCTCATCGCCTTCAACCCACTTGGTTAGAGGCTGACAACCATAGCTACAAGGCGATGGACCTCATTTTTCCTGGTTGTAACTGTGTCTACAACTTACCTACTGAGTCTTAGGTCTGATTGGATGGCCCAACTGCGTCCAAATTCACGTTTGCGACGAAAAAAATGTTCAAACCCACCTAGGAAGACCAGAAACTTGGGGTGGACGGGCTGAACCTCCAAAGCAAGCGCTGCTTCGACCCCCGGGCATTGAAAGCTGAAGCTTGGCTTGGTACATCTCCTGTGGGTGGTGTCCAAGGGACTCCTTCAGCACTGTAAAGCTGATATTTTTTTCCCAGGGATTCCAGGCAAGCCATGGTAACCAAAGGAACCCTTAAACAACCCGTCAGTTGGAATCAGCATCTCTCACTTCGCCCAAGCAGCGAGAGCACTTTCGGGGTGGGGCCCGGCGACCTTGGACGAGCGCCCAATTCCAAATGGAACCAGGGCATTTGACGCACCCTCCCAGTAAATAGGGCCTCCTGTTTCCCTGTTTCAGTGAAGCATTTCTCGTACACCCCCGGTGAATTGGGGGAGGGGGAGGGATGGACTGTCAGGAACTATGCGGCAGGGTCTGGGGATTGGCAACAAGCAATCGCCAGCAACCCACACACCCGGCTGGTGGGGGGGGGGCGTGAATTAGGTGTCAACAACGCAATTTGAAGCAAAGCCGCAGGAAAGGTTCGTGCGAGGGCTCGCAGGGCTCTATCTCAAAACTCTGGTCGTAAAAAGTCAGAGAAACTCGAGCGCATTGCACAAGAAACATCTGGATTCCTCCTGGACGGGTTTCTAGGGAGGTTCTCAGACTTGTCGAACCTCCGGCACTCCCTAAGGCGTTCAGTTGGGTTTGTGGGCATGCAAACGCCGCCTCTTAAACCCTCCAACTTGTTTTTTGGACGGGTCGTTTTTATAGCGTCCGGGTTCTGGAGGGGTGACACCAAAGGCACAAACAGAAACTGGTAAACAGATTCAGATCAAATCAAACACACAAGCTGGTGTGGGTCAATAATAGAGCAACCCCAAAACGGGTTGCCCTGGTAAATGGTGTAAACCAGCTGTCCCCCGGCGCCTTAATTTTGACACATATCCAAATTACACCCAAGGAGAGATAGATGGGTAGACCATTCAACAAAGAACCCTTTTGGACACCATTTTGTTCATCGAACACGGCTTGTGACTCCTTGCTCTTGTCCGGATTGCCGACCTCCTGCCTGAATTGGAAATGGTTTTGTCCGGGCGAAGAACTCTTCCGACCAACATGGAACTCACCAGAGTGGTGTTTCATCTCCCCCTTTGATTGGACGTATGTGCCACTTCCGCGAAACTTTCCTCGAGCTTCGGCGGGCAAGAAAGGGCCTTCCGAAAATCTTCCGTGGCTGCAGTGTGGCGCTACCTTCCTTGTTGACATGTTCACCTCCAGACATTTTGCTTGAGATTGAAAACCTGCCACTCATCAGGGAGTCCCTTTTAGAGAAAAGTTGTCTTCCGGGACACCCAGCTAGGTTGCAAGCTGGAAGATTATGAATATTCACCAATTCACCAACCTCACCAGACCGGAGCCTTCACGGTCTTTGCAACCCCACCAATACGCAACAGCTCAACCAAAACATCATACCAGGACTCGTGCAGCATTCTGGCCCCTCCCCCCGCCCACAAAACCAACAACTTGTGTTTTGTTGTTCCCTTTTTTGCACCCTCCAACCTCGCGGACTTACTAAAACAGATGTAATATCTAGAGTTGCTGGTCCCCTCCAATCGTTGCGCCCGATCGACTTCCGGCTCGCTTTTGGGCCCCATGCTCCACGCTCACATCCTGCGGGCTTGTGGCGGGCGCCTGGCGAGAGCAATGGCCCCACCAAAAAAACAGAATGGTAACCGCTGAGTCACAATCAACACCTGGCGTGGCTCAAAATTGGCTACCCAAAATGGAGCCCTGGTAAATGTTAAGATGCTCTACCCAAAACCCGTGCAGGGCAGATGTGGGTTGTCTCGAAATGAGAGGACACACATACATTTTACACACGCTGAACAGATGCGTTCAGTAAATGATTGGTTTCGAGACATTGTGTAACAAGTCGCCTTTGACATGACTTACAAGAATCCCAGCACACTCTATAGACTTGTGAACAAAGATCCAAAACTCCACCCCAGCGATACACATTTGCAGGAGGCCACATGAGTGCGGAGAGGCCACCTAGCAACAAACGGGCCAGCGCACACGCACCAGCTCCGGGCCCACACGATCCTCCATGTTGCTTCTGCCAAACCCTCCCATTTGTTCTATGGTGAGGTTACTCGCGATCTCCACAGAGATCCCTTGATGCCCTGGGAAAGGCCTTGTTGGACTGAACGCCGGCAAACCCAGAGCAGCGGCTGAACGCCCGTTACATGCATCCAAGCTGGATCCGAGCGCTCGAAATTGTTTACTCCAAAGGAGATGGCAGCGTCTGTCTCACATTGGAATCCAAGCTGTGCAGAAGAGCTCATGGACACCATCCTCCCAGCAAATGAAAACACTCACCACATGTTTCCATGGTCACTCGTGTCCAAATTCTCCATTCAGGGGTCTACGGCTGTCCTACCAAACCCCCAAGTAAAGGAATCTTTTGCTGACCCTGGCGCCGATAGACTGCGACCTGGTGTAATTTCACCACATGCGTCATTGCCAAAACAGGGCCACGGTCGCAACGTTTGTCTAACTTCTTCAGTAAGGGGTCTATGACCGTCCTGACAAGGCCGCATGAAGACCATGACGTGTCAACGCAATCGTGTCTCGAAACTGGCTTGCTTCCTTTTGGCTTTCCTTTTCACCAGCCCGAAAGAGGCACCCAAAAACAGACCCCCATGGTGTCCACACACCAATATGATGCCGGTCGGTAGCGCCCGTACTCAAATCGCCATTGGTCGCTGCTCAAATCTACATCGGTGCGGCGCCCTTTTTCTCGCCCAGCCTCCCCGCGCAGCTCGCCAATACCAGAGGCAGCCGACGAAAGGTCTGCCTCACCTGAAACCGTGCCGAACAAGTTCCCCAAAGACGTTGACAAGTCCAAGTACACAGCAGCAGCAGCAGCAGCAGCAGCAGCAGCGGCAGCAGCAGCGGCAGCAGTAGCAGCAGCAGCAGCAGCAGCAGCAGCAGCAGCAGCAGCAGCAGCAGCAGCAGCAGCAGCAGCAGCAGCAGCAGCAGCAGCAGCAGCAGCAGCAGCAGCAGCAGCAGCAGCAGCAGGCAGCAGCAGCAGCAGCAGCAGCAGCAGCAGCAGCAGCAGCAGCAGCAGCAGCAGCAGCAGCAGCAGCAGCAGCAGCAGCAGCAGCAGCAGCAGCAGCAGCAGCAGCAGCAGCAGCAGCAGCAGCAGCAGCAGCAGCAGCAGCAGCAGCACCAACACCAACACCACCAACACCACCACCAACAAAAACAACAACGGCAACAACGGCAACAACAACACCAACAACACCAACACCACCAACACCACCAACACCACCAACATTACCAACACCACCAACGCCACCAACACCACCAACACCACCAACACCACCAACACCACCAACACCAACACCACCAACACCACCAACAACACCATCACCACCAACAACACCAACAACACCAACAACACAAACAACACCAACAACACCAACAACACCAACAACACCAACCCTATGTAACATACTAGAACACGATAACTGCATAGTGTGTACCCACAAGAACAACTAACTTCACACAGATATGTGGTGTATAGCTGAACCGGCGGGAGGCACCCGCTTTCCAGCAAATTGAAGCCGTTGTGAAACAACCACATCCGTGCGCTGCAAGGCAGGGTTATGGGAATTACAACCACTGCTATAATACTGAAAGGCCTTTCAAATGATCCATTCTACACAAGGGGAGGCTCCACTATGTTCCAAGTCTCACTGAAGTCGGGTTCCCCCCCCTTATTCCAAGCCTGCTGCAAGGTGTTCCCTCTCTCCCTGTCACGCTTCCGTGGGGCTTCGCCAACCCCTTCCCACCGCAAGTTGAGGTCCTTGCGGGGGCTCATGGCATCCTGGCATCTGGATCGATTCGGTTCGCATCGATTCAAAACGGATGCCAACAAAAAAACAGCAAACCCCAAATTATCAAATAGAACCCCTCCCCAAATAAATTTTGAGAACTGATTCATGTTTGCCCAGGCACTGAGTGGATTCACCCAAATAAGTCCAACTCTGGATTTACCACTCAATTGGCATTCCGGCCTTTCCACAAAGTGACCTGGAAAAGCAAGACTACTTTTCTGAGAAACCCGGTGAACGGCTTTTAACAAACAATCACGACGAAAGTTGGTCTTGAAGCACCCCTTTGCGCACCCATTCGAATTTAGGCCCGCATGCTGAGCTTCAGGCCATGCTAGCAATGCTTTCAGGCCATGCGTCGCCGGCGAGTCAACATGCCGTTAGCAGCTGTTTTGGGGCACGGGATGGCTTCGTTAGGCCCCATGTCAGTTGCAGGTCGCAAGTCAACACAGTCAAAAACTCATGCGCCCAAACCCATTCGCGACTGTGTCAGCCAAAAGCTAGAGGTTCTACCTGACACGCCAGGCTGACTGGGCGGCTAAAATTGTCGGGTCTTGACTAGAATGATGAAGAACCCCGCCAACAAAACTGTGAAACTCTGCAACACAACAGGTAAGTATCAAGACAATCATGGGTTGACACAATGCCTGTGCCCAAGCCTGAAACCAGCTGGTAAAGACAGGCGTGTGGAGCGCCACACGTAGCTCCCATTCGAGTCAATGTTGAACAACCGATGCGCTTGTGGTGTCCTTAACAACGACAGGTTACCAACAAAAATGGAGCACCTGCTTTAAGATATACCGCTTGAAGACCTCGAGGTTCAACAACTCGGTGCAAACACCACTCGCTTCTTTGCTTTGCCAAAGCTCTTCTGTGAACTGGACGTTTGAGGGGAAAGCCTTCCTCAGCTTTTGCCGAACAAAACAATTTCTGTTTGAGTCTGGTCCAGATTGGGTGAACCTTAACATGTAAGATAAGTTCAAATGATATCATAGAAAACAGCCTCCTTTGACCCCCGACCCGGTTTCACATGGACGAAGCGACCTCTGGGACCCGCTTTCCAAGGACGGTGGCATCAATTCAAGGCTGGGTTGGTCAAACTGACCTCAGTGATTCCAATTCCCTGTATGGTGGGTAATCAAGGAAAAGAACCACCCTTTGAAAACCAAGAGGAAAATGGTTGGCTGCCTACTATAATTAGGGGTGACTGCGATCCACTGGGGACCCCTGCATAAGGCGTCATAGGGGAATCATCTATTTTCCCAAGGCAAACAGAGCATAGTTCTCAAGCTCGTATTGCTCCCGGCCCAGGACATATTCGGAAAGGAAAAACATGGACAGTCGTGGCATAGGACACCGCACATCTTAGATGCCTTGACTATGCATTGTTGCCAAAACGCGGTCGAACAAGGAATTCAGTAGTTCACCTATCGGATACTTTATACCAGGCTCGGTGAGCTCATTGTACCAACCCGAATGGGTGGAATCCCTCGCCCTTCGGCAGATGGGTGAGCCTGCGACGTCTGGGGCGCCCGGGAAGCTTTTGAGGCTGCCAGGGTCTGTCGCAAACAGGGAGGTCCACGCGGAAGGAATACTGCCTACTGAGAATGGGTTTAGGGGTACCAACCAAATCAGCCCCATCAACGCCAAACACGGATGCTCAGCAAGATATTGCACAAGACCGCCATATGCACAAACCAATTTAGCCTGCCAGAAATTATTCAGCCGCTATGATGTGAAGCTTTGCTTGACAGAACATGGGATACCAAGGCTCACTACGCGAGTGCTGTTGCGCAGGAAGGGCCAAGGTTTTGCTTGCCACTAACACAGAGTTTCCAACAAGGGAGCCTTTGGATTTACACCATGCCCGGGCACTAAGCAGGTCTTGTCAGGCGCAAAAGCAAAACCTGTCCAAACCCTTTCACTTGATACTCATTCGGATCTCGAGACTTTCCAAGCCGCCAAACATGTAGAATTGTCTGTTCCATATGCTTTTATCTGCCTGGCTATATGGGCATGAATTGAATGTGCGCACCCTGTGGCTGACATCATGCTCATGGGGATTCATGTCCACCAGCCATTGTGTGGAAGCTGTTCCCCATTCAAACTGATGGCGATCCCCATGAAAACCCATCGCCAAAATCGCCAGGACGCCCCGGATCCATACGGCAAAGGGGCAACTGGACTTTCTCACGTGGATGAAACCGTAAAGTGGAGGGCTGCTCAAAGCCTTGTTTCTTCAGTATCAGGTATCTATTGATTGGTGGTTTGGGCTGGTGGTGGGAGTTGTTCTTGTACGTGAATGGGAAACCCCGGAAGACCGCCAAACCATCGGGCTCCAAAAGCCACCAAGAGGTAAGCTGACAGCAGCTTCCCAAAGCAAAACCTTCGAGCTGGTTTTGGGACACCACCCATGTTGATTCCCTAGTGACCAGCAAGAGCAGCCCTTCCAATTTGCTACCCTTGTGCTCTATTTTCAGGTGTGGCTCCTGCATGTCCACCACTTCCCCCGCCATGGCTTGATTGGTCTCAAAGTCTTTTTCGCACTGCGCGTGGGCGAACAAAACTCGTGCAAGTGGACACCCCCAACTCGTGCTCTTGGGATGGCAAACGCATTGGAGTATCCAAAGGGACACTAAAGAGTCGCCGTCAGGAAAGCAGGAGAAAACATGTCGAAATTCGAAATTCCAAGATGCGGCCCCATTGCCGAGGTGATTGAAGGGAACCAGTGGACTATGAGAAAAAAGGACACCCGTTTATCAGCTTCCCTATTGGTGGTTTGCCCGGTGGTTTGGATTCCGGGGTCTCAAAGCACCAATCCAAACCACCAATAAGTAGAGAGACTATGAAACAACCAGACAATTTTTCCAAATAGACCAGAAAGATGGTTGCTCTCGGTTTCCTTCTTGGTTTCCCTTGCCACCGGGCCGGCAAAGCACTGTTCGGGGCGAAACCTCTGCTTCAACCCTGCAATACAACAACCTTTTCTTAGGGAGCGGTAGCCCAACTTATTCAAATCGCCGAGCCTTTCTTCACTCGGTTGCTTTCTGCTCCCCTGCTAAAAGTTTAACTTTTAGTGGCTTAATACGGAGAACCCCATTAGTTGGCGAAAAGTTATTCAGTCCTAACATCCCTTGACAAAATGCACCAAAGTTCATGTACCTCTTCCACTGAATTGCCCTTGGCCCAAGCGTCTTGGCCCAGTCTGCCAGTCGGCCAGTCTGCGTGCCTGGTCCAAACTCCAGGCAAGGCCCATCTGCGAGTCGAGCTCGATTTCGGGTTTTTGGATCGAGTGGATTGGCCAGAAGTTGAGCTCCTACCCCCCGGAGTTTTCTCTTTGGGCTTGGTGCTGTGGTTGCAACATCCTTTCCTGACTGGTCTTTGTGTGCCCTGGAGGGGTTTTGGGACAATCTGGTGGCCGTGTATCCTCTTAGGCCAGCAAACACATGCAACCAAATCGAACGATCTGCATGCAACAACTCCAAAAACCCAAATACGGAATCCTCAAGTACAGGACCTACAGCACAGCTTTCGCTTATTTTACACAGAGCTCGCCATAGAATATGCACAAAGTGCAAACAAATGGCAACGCGTGAAGAACAGTGAAGGATTTGAATCCCTGGTCCTTGTTGAGGGTAAATGCGAAGCTGACCTCTTCAACCCACATCACTCGTGCGGGAGAAGCTGAGAAAGACTCTCTCATTGGCGCAAAGTGTGACTCACAGAAACATCCCCCATGTTGTGCTTCCAAGGGGATCCTCTCTTTTTTTTTCAGCTGGCTGTGACTTCAACACAGACGTACCTGAATAGTTACGCAGATTCTTCTCGGATAAGCACACCTCGATGGGGTACGTGTTTGCACAACCCCACGAATCCTTTCTAATGATTTGGGGCCTTGTATCCTTTGAGCCTCAAGGATGTTCAACGCCATCTCCTTTGGGCAACCTGACGAAATCCCAAAACGGAGCAAAGGGCGCGTCTTAAAATGGGAACGGCCAAATATGGCGGCCGTCCCCTAAAACTTTCTCTTGGAAGCGACCCAAAACAGGGGGTCCCTCCCTCCCACGTTGCCATGGCACCTAACAAAGGGTGCTTGAAGTGGAAGTTGGTCTTCAGGGTACCCACGCGCAAACGCTATGTGAAGGATACCCCACAGACGTGCCGTGCCCATCTGCTTGGAACACGTCTCTCGAGTCCGAAGTGTTCGACTCGGCCTCCGGGAGGGGTCCATGCCTAACGCAGCACTGCCGAGATTGAGGGCCCACCGGCTTCGGCAAAGGGGAGGATTCAGGAAACCCTAAGGTGGTGCTTGAGGGGGGCTTTAAGGTCAGGGAACATACGTACTTGGTTGGTGCATGGACACATGTCGTTTGCTTGTTTGCGATTCGTTGCTTTGTGGTAATTAGATCCATTTTTCCTGCTCATAGTTTGCCAAACCAATCCAGCTGTGAACTTTAATGGGGCACCCCCTCAGTCGTTGCTAACCACACATCCCCGCCAAACTGAAAAGAGTCCCCAAGCAAATCTCATGCCGAAGTTGCTTCTCCAACTAGCACCCAAAATGCTTTGACTGGTGATACCAAGATGGTTGTGAGGGATACTGTAGACCTTCCTAGACCCTACTAAAATGGCCAATGCGCGTCTTGGGCACTCACATGTTCTGAGGTTTAGTGGCGTTTGGAGGCACTCATATTTAAGGAGATTAGGGCGGTACTCAAAGCGGTGGCCCTCCAATGGCCAGTGTTCCCTTTGATTTTGAACAGGGCTGTGGGAAATGGAATCCACTTCGGTGTAAAACAGCAAGAAGGGCCTCAAGAAAGACCCCCCGCCTATTACAGAGGGGATTCCCAAAAGTATCGCAGAAGTGGGGATAAACCCCGAGTGATCCCACAACCCTGATTTGCAAACCAACCTGCTGTGGATGGTTGCGAATCCATTCCACCACCGTTCAGAAACCGTGGAAGGATGAGTCCCCAACCTAGACACCAACCAACACTGGTTGCAACCATGGTGCCGCGGAATTTCGTCCATCCACAGTAACAATGGGTTGGTTGTCATGATTCCTGTCATATCGGAATCCGCTCTAGGGTGCAACTTAAATTTGCTAGCGGGCCCATGGAGATTGCCAAGGATTGTTGGCCAAGACACACAAGCAACCGTTTGCAACTAAATGCCAACCCAATGAGACGCATGCGAGATCCAATTGCTGGACCCGGTCAAGTCCACTCAGAGATCCAGTTTCGATTCGGGGAACGGCGCGCAAAGGTCTCTCCAAAGGACCCGAACACCTCCAATGCAGACCCCGCCCGTCGAATGGACAGTCCCTCAAGGCAGGTCTCATCAGGATGCACATTGTGCTGCGGTCCTGGATCTGGCTGCTTGTTTTTTGCAACCCGCACAAAGAACCAATTGGAGCACTTTCACACCGGGAACTCCTGAAAGGGAAACATGCTCTTTGATTGATGTTGACCCTGGACTAATAGACCTTGTGGACTTATGGGGGATTGCCACCAAAAGTGAAGGATTCCCTCTTAAGCGGGGCACAGTAGTTGGACGTAGATTGGTCAGCCTCCACCTCACAGTCTGTTGCCGGCTCTCACACATCCACCAGTGCTCATCCCTGGAAGCGCAGAAAAGCAGAAACTAAAACGGGCTACCAAATTTGACCCAAGCTATGGCAGCTATGTTTTTAGCCTTGAGGCAGTGAGACTTTTTGATTTGAAAGGATCGAAGCAAGGCTGGCTGAGATCTGCCAATCTAAACCAATTCCACTTCTCCAGTTCCAGAAGGGCAGGATCTAAGCCACCCACCACAACCACGCCACCTGTTTCCTCTAAGATCCGTACAACCCTAAGCCCCTCATAAAGCCCTGAATTTGGAGGAGTCGAGGAGGGTGGGTGGTTTCCGCGCCTCTCGGCATAGATACGGACCGCAGCCTGCAGGCGCAGGTAGTCGTTGACCTGCCGGGACCGGGATTTGTTTTTGACTTTTTGGGTCGCAAGGGGCTGACGGGTTCAGTTTCTTTCATCAACCATCCTGGTCAATCCCCATCTGGTTTTCCACGGCTCGCTCTTTGGCGGCTTTCTAGCAACTTCCGCATGTCACGGACCCCTAGGGGGGCTATGGGGGGGGGCTATCCCTGGATAAGCCGATAGGATAAGCCAATGATAAGCCCCTTAATAAGACCTTATTGATGAGTTAACAAGGGATAGCCCCCTTCGCCATTGATCATCTTGAAGCTCGGAAGTCTTAAGAAACTTGTCGTTCACTTCCTGACCTGGGGTTGATGAGATGGTGACAAGGCTTTACCCAACGAATTGTTGCAAGTTTGCCAACTGAACAAGCTTGGGGGTTGCCTTTTGCAGGGGACGTCGAAAAGGGAACAAACCATTTGAGACTTGCTCATTTTCAGCAAGCGGGCATGAATCTTACAAGACATCATCATTTAGGTGAGGATTTATGTCCACCAACCACTTTTGAGGGTGTTCCCTCATAGCCAGGTCAGTCGCTGTGGGCAAGGTGATCAAATTGTACGGGGGCTCCTTATGGAGGCTGGAACCGTTTCTTACCGCGCGAAGGCAATTGTGGCGAACCCTTCTTTAGACATCGTCTCCGTTGAACGAGATCTCTTGTGAAGCTGCGAGAAGTCAGTGGGCTCAGCTTTCCCAACACATCCCCATGAAACAAGCTGAGCTTGGCGAGCGAAAGGCGATGTTGAAAACGAGCAGATGACGATCCCTCTCCAAAACAGGCTCAAATCAGGGGCAGCGCTGGAGGTCAGGGAAGAATCCTGTCAACGGGGTGCACGGGAAAGGATGCAAATGACAATGCGTATGTGTCAACAAACAAAAAACACGGGGCCTGTAAACGGCAGTTTTTTCTTGGTTTCCTCAAACACGGCCCTCATGGGCTCCCAGGAATAGTACCCAAGTTGATTTTGCGTCGGTGTCCCCTCTTGAAGGGTCACAAAGGCGAATCCACTCCAAACATGAAGCTTTCCTTTTCAGACAAACTACAAAAAACAGAGTCATGCTGGGCTCTTTCTAATTTTCGGATGAGCAACCACGGGAAACCCCGAAAAGCACCACTGTGGATGGACGACCTCCGTTTTGCACCACCTAGGAAACCCTGGAATGATGACTCCCCTGTAAAACAGCAACAAACGTAGTGGTTTCAACCATGGTTTCCAGTATTGTTGTTCAACAAATGAAACATGGGAGAAGGGAAAGGTGGCTCAATACCTCCATTTGCTTAAACCCCCTGGGCAAAAATACCAGCAACATATGTGTGACAGATTCCCTTTACAACCAAAAAATGGGTTTTTTTGGTTTAAACAAGAAACAAACACTATTTTCATGTCGGCAAATGGTCAGAAACCCAGGCCTGCCTCTCTCTTTAGTGAGTCATCTCGCTGTTCGCGTTGTTTCATCATCTCTCGCCGCCCTTTTTTCGCTTCTTCGGCGTCCCGGCCAGGCTGGCGGTGAGCACCGCATGCACGGCATCCTTCCGGGCGCCGGGGTGCATCCGCCTTGGGTCGGGCCCGAATGCAAATTTCGACCAGCTCTGCGGTCCGAATGGCGAAAGGGCTTTCCTTTAAAGGGGCCATTTCTGGAAGCTGAGGTGCTTTGATGCTAGCCACATGAATGTGGGCTCCTTTTTTCCTGTGAATTCGTGCCAATGTTCCGACTTACCAATGTCTTTGCAAGAGATGTTCAAAGGGTCGCAGCAAGTCTAGTCAAACACCACTTTCTATTCTGCGGGATTGGCTTGTCTGGCGCTCCCCAAAGCCTCCACTACTGTTGTTTGCTTGCAGCTTTCAACAGCCTGCTCAGTCAGCAACATTGGCATCTAGGAGAACCCCTCAGATTCAAACGCGCATAATCATCGCCTTCCAGTCAACTCGACACATTTTCTGGATTCGGAGTGGTTTCCCTGCATTTGGAGCATAGCCAAAGCCCCCACCCGGGCCTTGAGACTTGGGATTGATGGTCTCTTTGTCCCGAAGCCTTGGGGCAACCAGTATGGACAAAATCCATTTCGCGCCATCCAAAATCAGAATTGAAATCGAAGTCTTACCAACTTTGTGCCGATTTTGCTTGGAATTAGGCTTTAAATGACACCTGGGAAATACACGAACCGGTGGCAATCGGGTGATCTCTCAGCGAACTCAAAAGGGGTGCGACAAATAGATTTCCTTTTGGCTTCTGTTTGAACAAACTTCCCTCCCAAATAACCATGCCCAACCAGGGAACCCTATGCAACTCTCCGGATCGGGACCCGACCCCCCCCCCACGCCCCGCGGCCCCGCAATCTGCTTTTCACTTCGACCGGTCGGCTCACATGCCCAGTGGCCATGGACCCAGAAATACGAGGGTAGCCTTTTGGGACCTTGACTAATCATGGACCATGGGAAAACCGGAAGGTCAAAACTGAGTATCTCACTTGTGTGGATTGGCCATCAAGTACGAACATTTTCTTTGCCACTAAAATGGTCCAAACCCAAAACGTCTCAAGTCCAACAACTCGAGTGAGGAAAAAGCCAGAAAGCGTGACTCAACTTGTTTTGCCGAGTACCAACTTTGGTCCAACTCAACAAGTTTGGGCATAATCTTCAGCGAAAGTCCCGCATGAAGCTGGTGCAAAATCTGTCATCTTCCTCTTTCTTGTAAGTTCGCAGGCATCGGCCAACAAGGGTGAAGTTCGCATTTGCCAGCGCGATCGTCACTGGGAAGCGGCTTTGGCATCCCCATTCCTCGGCAAAAGCAGAACAACGTAACTGGCTGGTGCTAGCCACATGGGGTGTGTGCACTATATATCAATAAACAAAGAGGTTCTATCAATGCTTTTGGCTCACTTGTTTATAGCCCATTGAATTGAACCGAGTTGTTGGTGCGTCAAACCTCCCATCTCATTATCTCATTTCTGTGAAAAACACAACTGCCATTTACCTGACTTGCCCCCAATGCTGGGGTCGATCCCAGGTCCTGTCATGAGACAAACGTAAGCACAGATTTCTCGGGTTACGGGGTGTGGCAAGTAATCGTATTCACGGATCTGGCACAAAGGGGAGACCTTTTGGGTTGGTTTTGAAGGGACAGCGCATGGAAAAATGGGGTCCAAATCCCTTTTTGAAGACACACCTTCTTCCCTTCAAGGGACGCCAGAAACCTGAGAAGGGCTCAATGTTCCGTGCGACCCAAGTGACATGCGAAATCAGGGGCGCAAAATGCCCATTTGGCGTGTGGGCCACGTGATGCTTCTACAACGCAGAACAGCCAGTGTTTTGTGGCTGGTCATTGTCACCCTCAATTCAAGGATGTACGTAAAAGAACCGGCCAGCAAACAAGGAGTATCTGCGAGAAAGGCCCATTGTCTGGAATGGTGTTAGTGTCGCAACAAGCAAGAGGCAGAAGTGCGCCCAATAATTGCGATCAACACAAGCAAGTCAGCACGGAACCAAGGAACACGGAGCTGGCAACATTTTCACTTGCCCAGCCATGCGAGGAAAAGGTTCGGTTTTAGATTTCGATGGACAACCCCATGAAAATTCCCGCTTGGAGTCAATTCCCGGGTTTCTGATACGCATGAGTTTCACATAGTTTCACGGTCTCGGGTCAAAGACATCTTGGCCGGCACCATGCGCCTCCTGCAGGGCAAAGCCCAAACACCTGGTGGCTTGGATTCGTTCGGAATTCCGAGGTTTCCGATTTGCCGGTTACAAGAGCCAGGCACCCTTTCAAATCTCAATCCAAACCGCCAATTAGGGATATCCAAACAGCCACTGAAAAAAAAACGCAGGGGGAAAGGAACAAAAACAACAGCTACAGCAGGCTTGCAGCTCTGCTTGCAGCTCTAGTGGCAGCTGGCACTCTACGAGTTGGAAGTAGGCGCCCCTGGCCGCCAGCAAAGCCTCGTGGGACCCCTCCTCCACCACCTGGATCCAAAGCGGATCTTTCCAAAGTGGATCCAAAGTGGGCCGAAATCATTGGATTGGGGTTGTGGTACTTGCATGCCGAACATAGTCATGAAAAAAGGAGTATACAAGAAGCAATTCATTCGCCCCTTGTATTAGGGTGCGCGTGTTTTGAATGGGAAACCAAAAGGAGACCAAGCTAGAGTCAAGCGGTCACCAAATTAGCAGGGAATGGAGAAACAACTGTTACCTCGTCCACGTTGCCATGGAACCCTGAGGGTAAAAACAAACTCCCCTCACAAGCAACAATGAAAAGCAACACAATAAAACAAAACAAAGCAATCAAAGAAACAAGTCTGCCATACATAGGATATTGAAGCAACGGAATGCCGATCAAACTCAGGCACAAACCAAGCGGCATATTTTATGTGACAGTATGCATGGGGTTGGCCTAAAGGTAAGCCAAAAGGAGAACCACCATTGAGGGGCCCCCTAAACTAAGACGCACCCATTTAGAAAAGGCACACCCCCATGTCCGTCTTCGGGCCTGGCCGCCCTTGATGACGCAAATCTTGTGGGAGTTCTTCACGGTGCTGAGGCGGTGGGCGATGATCACCACGGTCATGGAGCCTCTTTTAAACCACGCCAGATATACCGCTCAACGCCAAGGAGCTGACAGGAGCTGGAAAAACAAGGTTCACCGTTGTGACGACTAGAAAAAAAAAGGTGGGCCGAAAGCAATTGTTGCAATGCGGATGCGCGAATGTAGTACTGGTGCGACTTGGAAACATTTTGCGGGGCTCAGTTGCCTGGCCTTGCAACACGCTGCAGTGCAGGCCTCGTGCTACTTGCTCTGCATGTCCTCTTGTGCATCTTGCTCTGCTATTTAGCCGTGCGGCAAAGCTGGCGGCTTTATCAGAAGAATATTTTGAAATACTTTCGGGAAACATCGAGCCAGAGCTGGAAAACCGCCCTCCGCGATTACTTTCGCACTGAACACTTGCGATGTTCAAGCCAGAGCTTTGTGTTTTTAAGCTGGAGCTGCGCCGGCGCATCCCGTACGCCTTTCGCGTTTATAGTTTGCCATCCTCAAGTCTGAGCCGCGCCAGTTTACTTCGCGTACTACTCTTGCACGGACACACTGCTACTCGAAGCTCGCCCAAACCAAGGGCCGCAAAGAGCGGTCACACAAACTACAAGACAAACTTTCAGGCGTCCTCAGTTTGAAGGGCACACGGTTTCTTGATCCAAAATAACTTGCGGATGCCATTGCCCGGTGGTCATTCTACTCACGAATTTTCGGATGCAATCACCTTGTCCTCAACGTATCCACAACAACTTTCGGACGCCATTGCCCGATGGTCTCACGAATTTTCGGATGCAATCGCCCTGTCCGCAGCTTGAAGGACACACGGTTTCTTGATCCAAATCAAGTTCCGGATGCCTTTGCCCGATGGTCATTCTACTCACAAATTTTCGGATGCAATCGCCTTGTCCTCAGTTTGAGGGGACCACGGTTGCTTCATCCGAAACATTTTTAGGATGCCATTGCCGATGGCAATTCTACTCCCGAACTGTTGGATGCAACCATCGCATGCAATCGCCCTGTCCTCAGTGTCAGCTTCATCCGAAACAACTCCTGGATGCCATTGCCCGATGGCCATCCTACTCACAAATTTTCGGATGTAATCGCCCTGCCAGACATGCACGGTCAGGAAGAGGATAGTTCGTCTGGAAGTACGAAATTAATGCCAGGGTTCCTTTTGGAAAGGAGACCGGACACGGGTTCTTGCAATGATTAAAATATATCCAACACCTGAAATAAACAGCCTAAGCCATAAACCTGAAACTCTAAAGGATCTTTACCATGAGCTCACTTTACCCCCCAAGTGAGTTCGCCATAAACTACAGTATGTCCAGCCTTCGGCAATCATGGCATCAATGGCACGCTGCACCTGCAAGATGAACTCTGCAGTGGATTGTTTTTCTCTTCGTTTCCTGGCAGCGCAGGACAAATCATGAAACAAACCAATGCAAACCAATCAAGAGAACAAAACAAACTAACAAACACAAACAAAAACAAATCGTGCAAGCCATGCCCTTCTTCAAGCCAAGGCCCAAAGCACATAGTGAAGACATCCCCTGGTCTCAGAATGCCACGGCTGTGGAACTCACACGGACATTTTGGTTTGGGGCAACCCCACAAAGGGCGCTGGCGGAGACCTCACAAATGGTGATTCCCGCATTCCCTGCTGAGTACTGCGTCCGTTTCAATGGAAGTGACACCCCCAAACCTGAGTTAAGTAGTGGTTCCCGCAAGTAATCTTGAGATCAGCTTGCCAGTCGGCACTGGGGTTACCCAAGCTGTTTCATCTAAACTTGGTTTCTGTTGACCCTGCTGCAAAAAGTGAACAACTTTTTGTGGGTACAATACGGAATATGCAAACAGTTGTCCAGTCCAAAGATCCGTTGTCAAGTAGCCATCAAGCTTTCCCATGCCTCGTTGCCCAGAAACAAGGAAGTTTTATCCAGAACTCCGGTTTTCCATCGGAGAAGAATGGGACTCTTTAGTCTCAACTCCATGGTTCCAACCGCTTTCGGACGGCCTGGAACTCTGACTCCGCGTCCAAAGCGCTGGTGGCTTCATCCAGCAGCAGCACCTCAGCCCCGAGGCCGGGAGCCATGTGCTGCATATGCGCTATGCAGCCTTTCCTTTTATTTGGGGGTGGGGGGTGGAGCCCCCGTGGTTGGTTAAACAAAAGGAAGCCAAACGGAAACCAACATTTATACAAATAGATGGGTTCTGTGGAGGCCCGTTCAGGTTGGTTTTAGTGGGAACCCACCAGAAATACCCTTCGGCGGGTCCTCCTGTT